TGTCACTTCAGATTTGGAAAATGGGTTTCTAGAGAGGGATGGGAGCCCGATGAAAGTAGAAAATCCTCATCGAACTGCTTTGGGTCACAACGGATGCCTAATTTGTCAGAAAGAGAAATGGAAATAACTTTGCTCAACCCCCCCTTTAAAAATCTGCAACCCTGTCTTATTCATAAACTCTTAATTAACTTGGTAACTAAAATTTAATTTTCTTTTTATTACACATACACAATTGATCTCTCCTTTTGGGATGCTCAGAGGACCCTTCCCCCCCATCTTTCCATCACAGAAAAAAATACATAAAGATTTTAAGATCAATAACACATCTTCTACTAAAGCCAATGTGGTACCCTAGAAAAGATAAAGGAGATGTGCAGAAAAACTGTGCAGAAATCGAATACAGTCTCAAGCCTAGTGAATAGCAATGCACCTTTACCAAAACATCCCTGACCCGGTGCCCTGCAGCGCTGTAACTTACAAGGAGAGGCTCCCAGCAGAGAAAGGGCAGTTTGTGCCCAGCAGAGAATCCGGGGCCCCTTTGGGATTTTAGTTAAGGGACTTAACACTCTTAATTTTGTGGAAATGTGTCAACAGTTCTCCGGGTGTCCTTTCAAACTGTCCCTGAAACTATCTGCCCATCGTGCAACCCTGCCACGGCCTCAAGGAGTAAGTTCCGCCTCCTCCGTTTTAAATTCCACCCACTGAATTACAGTCTGTCTCCTTTCCCCCAGTGTTAATGTGACACACAGCACCATTCCTCCTGCCTGTTGCCTCTGAAGGGTCCCAAGGGGTCCATCGCAGGCAGGGTATGTGTCTGGCAACGGCCAGAAGAGGGGCAGCCCTGAGGCAGGAGCTCGTTCTGTCTTGGCAGCTGCCTCCATTGGAAAAATGACAGAGACAGAGAGGAGGGCTGCTCAGCTCACACGGGCTCCTGTGCCACAGGCTCCCACACTTCAAGGACAGCGCCGCGCCTCTCAGCCTCTCCCTGCCGGCAAGTATTCATTCTCGGGCTTCAAAAACTATGTCATAGAGAGTTTAGGTTTCACGCTGGAAGCAACAGAGGCAATAGAGTTAAGCCTGGGGCTGCTCTGAGTCAGGGCTTAAGGCACCACCACCTCGTTCAGGGAGGTGCAGACAGAAGATCCAGAGCGTGATCAACAATATGGGGACAGGGGGCCCTGTTGGTAAACGGAACTCACCGCCAGGCTGCTAGATCCTCATGGCACGGCTGAGTCTGGGGCGCAGAATGAAGGGAAAGTCGTGTTTTTCACGTCCGGGTTAACTGACAGCCTTTCCAAAGCCTATATCCACTTGTGATGATTAAGTTACTCAAGTCTTTTTTTAAAATTGCTACTAAAATTGAACCCATATTTATAAATGACCATTTGAATCAAGTATCTTTGTAGCATAAATTTATCATCTGAGAACTCTAGACCTTTTGGGGCCAGGGCTAATGTTCATTTCTTTATAAATATACAGAATGCTAGACAAAGGGGGAAGATTGATAGGGGGAGAGGAGACAGAGAGGGGGATTGTTGCATGGAAACTCACAGTGGGCTTTGCCCGCTGTACCCTGTGAGTCTACAAACCATGGGCCTATTTCCAGAAGCTGAAAAGAAGTTTCTGAAAGCCACAGGGACCTGCCCAAGGGGGTGGATGGGCTGGGAAACAGCTGAGGGAAGCCAAGGTCAGAGACTAGATGGTGGTGTCACAGGTGCACTGCCAGGGAGTTGGCTCAAGACCCACCTGGTCACAGGTCACTGAATAGCTTACAGGAAGTAGCCAGGGGCCTCTGCCGCCTAGGAGTTTCCCAGCAGCCCTTGCTGGCGTTCAAAACACCTGCGGGGAGGAGCACCAGGAGGCAGGGGCTTGAGGGGTCATAGGTCAGCCCAAACCCCTGAGAAGCATTTCTCTGCAGAAGCAGAGGGCGTGCTGATGTTTCTTTCCCCCCAAACTCTTCCCTTCTTGCACACATAGGAGTGGGGGTGGCTAAGTGCCTGCAAGGGGCCCTTGAATCCACCCATAGAACCAAACGCCACCCATCTCATACCCCAACTGGCTTTCAATAGCCTTGGGCTGGCCGGGCGCGGTGGCTCACGCCTGTAATCCTAGCACTTTGGGAGGCCGAGGCAGGCGGATTGCTCAAGGTCAGGAGTTCGAAACCAGCCTGAGCGAGACCCCGTCTCTACCAAAAATAGAAATAAATTAATTGACCAACTAAAAATATATATACAAAAAATTAGCCGGGAATGGTGGCGTATGCCTGTAGTCCCAGCTACTCGGGAGGCTGAGGCAGCAGGATCGCTGAGCCCAGGAGTTTGAGGTTGCTGTGAGCCAGGCTGACGCCACGGCACTCACTCTAGCCTGGGCAACAAAGTCAGACTCTGTCTCAAAAAAAAACCAAAAACAAAACAAAACAACAACAACAAAAAAAACCCACAACATCAATAGCCTTGGGCTGTGAGATTTAGCAAGTGCACACACACTCCTTTAAACAGCTTGATTAAATTCCTGGAAGCTTGCTGTCATGAGGTTATTTTTCAAGATTAACAGACATGAAAGGTGCAAAGACTCTTGGGGTGGCTGGGGGAGGGGTTATTTTTGACACTGGGGCAGGAGCCTCATTTCCAACAAGGTTAGGGACCACCTATCTGGTCCAGCTGCCCCATTTTCTAATCGGAGAACAAGAGGCTCTAAGAAGGCAAGCGACTTATTCCAAAACACAGAGCCTGGTCCACAACACAGCAGGGTCAGGCCAGAGCTTTGTGCATCACCCAGCCCCCACAGGCCACTTGAGAGCTAACAAAACTTTCTTTCAGAGGCAAAAACCTATAGGACAACGACAATTGCAGCTGGGGAGGGGGGCGGAGGAGGCACCTACTGATTACTAACTACCTGTATATACAAAGCAAAGTCTTTATCTCGTTTGATGCTCATAAGAATCCACATCCATTTTCACACTTTTTAATCACATATTTGCCCTGCTATTTGATACTATCTATCCCCTGCATTAGCCTTTAAGCCCCAGGAGGGCAAGGTCTATGTCTGTTTTGTGAATCACTATATTCCCAGCGCCTGGCACCTATTTGCTCCGTAACCTAGATGTTTCTGTTTTTAAGACAGGAAAAATGAAGCCCAGAAAGGTCAAGCGATTTGCCTAAGGACACACAGCACGGAGCTACTGAAGAAGCCCCTCCACTTTGCGTATACTCTGCCCGGAACTCCTCTCCAAACCCTACCTTGACGGCCTCCGCATGGGTCACCCGGGCCAGGGATTTGTCGTTGACACGCAGAATCTGGTCCCCGACCCGAAGCCCTTCCTTCTCAGCCAGGGAGCCCGGCTCCACCAGCGACACGTAGATGCCCACGCCGTGCTCCGAGCCCCCGCGGATGCTGAAGCCTAAGCCCTCGTGGGCCTTGGCGCGCCGCAGGCTCACGATGCGCACCTCCCCGGGCCCTGCGCCGTCGGGGCCGCCCCAGGCGGGCTGCCTGTAGGAGGCGGCGGCGGGCAGGTAGAGGCCCTCCGCTGTGTACTGGTCGAAGAGCAGCTGGTCGGAGCGAGGGATGACCAGCCGCAGCATGGGCAGCAGGCGCCGCTTGACCGGGCTGTCCAGCAGCACGCGCAGGGTGCGCACCAGGTCGAAGACGTTGCGGCGCGCGTGGTAAGCGTTCAGGCAGTGCGTGAACTGCTCCCGCTCCGCCTCGCTCAGCAGCGCGGTCAGCGCCTGGTGCAGCTGGCGCACGTTGGCAGACAGCAGCCGCAGCCCCGCGCCCCCGCCGCCGCCCGCCCCGGCCGCCGAGCCCAGCGAGCCGGTGGAGGACGAGCTCACCGACACGCCGTCCAGCTGCGCGTTCATCTCCCCGCCGAGGCCCGGCCGGACTCGGGGCGCGCGGTGGGGTGCCGCTGCGCTCGCGGGCACTGGCGCGAGGCTGGGTCCCGGGGAACGCGGAGAGCGCGGCTGGAGTCTGGGTAGTGGGGGCGCGGAGACGGAGCTGGATCCCAGGAGACGCGGGGACGGCGGCTGGAGACTGGGCTCGGGGAGCAGGGGGACGGTGCCTGGATCCCGGGGGTTGCGGAGACCGCCGCTAGAGTCCTGCGGGGCGCGAAGACCGCTGCGGTCGTGAAACTGGAATCCGGGGGACGCCGAGACGACAACGGAGTCTTGGGGGACAGAGTTGAGTCCTGGAGCCTCGAGGTCGCAGACACTGCGGCTGGAGTGCGGGGGGCGCGGAGAGAGCGGCTACATTCTGGAGGGCACAGAGACGACGGGTGGCTGGAGTCGGGGGCGCAGCAAAGCTGAGCGCCCCGTCACACCATGCCCGGGGCTCCCCCAGCCGGGCCGCCAGTTCCTCTTGGGCTGGGGGACCCCAAAGTCAGAAGTTGGGGCGGGGGTCGCTCTAGTCCCAGAGCTCCCGGGTCACAGCCGATGGGGCCGCGCGGGCGTCCGGCAGGGGGTGCGGGGCATGTCCCGGGCAGCCCCGGGATGCAGAGCCCGGGGACCCCCGCGCCCCTGCGCCGCCCGAGCGCAGACGGAGCCGCACGCCCGCGAGCCCGGACTTTGCGAACTGTTGAGCCGCCCGGGGCCGAGTCTTCCAGCGAGTTCCGACGCCGCCGCCGTCGCCAACCCAGCCTTGGCCCCGCCCCCTTGCCCCTCCCCCTCTCCCGCCCCGTCCCCCCGCGGGCTCTTCAGGAAATGACGTTCCGCCTGGCGCGCCGGGCGGTTGCCTGGAGACGGGGTGAAACAGTCCAGCCCCGGGGAAGAAAGGGTGAAAGTGGGGGGTAGGGGCTGGAGGAGCCCCCGACTTCTCCAGCCCCGGGGGCGGAGGGGGGAGGGAGCTCAGAAACAGTGCTCCTCGGCGGTCGCAGCGTGTGCACCAGGATCGTTTTGAAGCGATTTGCCAGCTAGCTAATTCACAATTGTGGGGGGAAAGAGCCAACTTTTTTTTTTCTTTTTGCATTTAAAATACTGGACGCCTCAGGCTCGGTTTTCTCCCTTCAAGGTTGCGCTCCCCCCTTGCACACGCACTGCCATTACAAGTTCAAGTGTTCGTGTGGACAATTGTTGGGCACCTGCTGCGTGCAGGAGGCGCGTGCAGGCACGTCCTGGCGTCTGCGGGAGGTCGGGAGATCTGCTGTGCGGAGGGCGCTCAGGCTGGACCCTGCGCGTTCTCCAGCGCGAGGGAAAGCCGTTTTCAGGGACACAACGTGTACACACAACGCGCGCGCGCACACACACAAATGGGTGCATGTAAAACTGGCGAAATCTGAGTCAGGTGGGTGGACTGTATCAATGTCAATGTTCTGGTTGTGTGATCTTGTCAACATAAGGGGAAACCGAGTGAAGAGTACATGGAAGGTTTATGTATTATTTCTTCCCACTGCATGTGGATCTACAATTACCTCTCTCTCTCTGTGTATGTGTGTGTGTGTGTGTATATATATATATATATATATATATATAGCAGGTTGTGAAAAAAAGTATTCTATGCCCTCCCATCCCAAGACAAAATGAGAAGACACCCCAAAGCATGTCCTAGTCTCTCATCACCACCTACTCCCCCAAATATATATAATCTAAGTAAAAGCCCTGCCCTTTAATTCGAAGGGGACTTTCTAGGAGCTCCATAGCGCCCCCTCACCTAGGCACAGACGTGCGCACGCACGCAGCTGGCACACATACCTTCCAACCCGAATGGCCTCTCCTACGCCATTCCGCTATGTATTTTTTTCCCTAAAACTGTCCCGGAATTGCCACTGTAGAGCCGACTGACTTCCATCTGGGAGAGGGAGAAACGGACTGTTACCTGCAGAAGTAGGTTTGAGCTGGACCCAGAAGGATGGATCATTCATTTATTCATGTCTTTCTTCATTTAGTCACTCTTCATTCCACATTTCCAAGGCACCCGTTCTGTGCTGGGTCATATGCGGGTTGCTGGAGACCCAGGTCAAAGAGACAAAATTGCTGACCTCGAGGAGGTCACAGTCCCCTAGGGAGAGAGATCCCACAAATAAGCAAAACCAGTCTAATAAGTGTGGTGTTGGCTGCCGGAGCCCAGCTTTGGGGGAGGAGGATATGGCAAGGGCTCTATTGAAGAGAGGACAGCTGGACTTCCTTCTATGGACAATAGGGAACAGTGGAAAGGTTTTCAGTACTGTTGGCTTAATGCTTTCCTCAAACCGAGGGTAGGAATTGAAGCTGTATTTTCTCCAAAGATCTGCAATTTTCTTCATGTTCCTAAAACAGGCCTAGGGTAAACTAATGCCCAGTGAACATATTTAATAGGGTCTCTGAGGAAGATTTTTTTAAATAACCAGTTAAGCTACCCTTGGACGTCTGTCTTACACCTCTTAAGTTTAGCAGTTAATACTGTATCCTTATTCCTTCTTCTCAACTGCTGTTGAATCCTTTAATGCAACTAGACTAAGATACTTAAGAAAAAAATCAATCTTCTCCACCCTCAAAATGTATTAATGGCATACCTCAAAATGCCACCAAGCAGGGCTTAATTGTATGCAGTTCAGGTTTTCTGCAAATGTATTTCATGCTTAGCTTTCACTTAGTTTGTGTTCTAATTATAATTACTGTGATTGGCTTGATAAATGCATCCCAGGAGTTAAGAACCCCCCTCCCTTCCCAGCATTTTATTTCTGTGCAAAGGATGTTTTCGAGGAGGTATCTTGCTCCAGGCAGCAGAAGCTGAGTTGCACAGGCAGTCTTAGTAGAAAAGGAAACACTTTCTTCTGCAAACATCAGAGACCATCTGGGATACTGTGCTATTGTGTACTTTCATAGAGGCCAATTTGGGAGGGCAGACAAGTATGAGAGCGTAGAAAAATAAATCCTTGGGGCTTCTTCCATCCATCATGCATAACCGCTTTAGCATCAGTTTGTACTGTGCCCCTTGGGTGAGAGACAGTGTGTAACTGTGCTCAAACCTCAAGAATCCTGTTTCATCTATAAAGGTGAGTTTATCATTCAGGAATAAGCTCTTAGGAACCCAAGATGCCTGGGCTTCTGAGGGCTGCACTGCCGCTGGCCTTCAAGCCCTGGGAGGAAACCATGAGTACAGGACTCGGCCCTGGTTGTATACTGCCCTCTTCAGAAGGAAAATATTATTCGCCCATGCAGACTGCAGGCTTCAATTTGCTTCCTTCACCAAAGCCACTTTTAATTGCTCATTATTGCTCTCCAACTCTGGCCAATAAATACCCTTCCCGTAGGAATGTCCCTGGAGACTTGAACACACAGGGGAAGTTGAAAACACAAAGGGAAGAGGAGTGAATTGTGCTGTGCTTTGTGCTCAGCACAACTTAGAAGTGCTTTGGCTTGAACTGGATTTTTGATTGTTGTTTGTATCTCATGTGTTTGTTTTAACCAAAAGGCAATGTTGCACTCTGGATATCAGGCAGAAAACCATTATTCCAGTCTCAGAGCTTCCCTTTAACTAGTTGCAGGACCCACAGGAAATGGCTTTACCTCTCATCTGGAAAATGTTGCTTTCAAACCTCCTCTGTCTCCCCGGAGGGCACTTGCAACCTGTGTGTTTCATGTTCCCTGCAGTCAATGAAAGCGTGTTGCAAGTCACAGACTGTCATAAAGATGGTAGTTATTTTCCCAACTTTTTTTATGGCAATCTTAAAAAGCCTTTTTCTATTTCATAGTCACTGGGAGCTTCTCTCCTTTTCTCTTATCCACTCAAATGTATCTTTAGAAGGCAATAGAGAGTAATCTGAGCTGCATTTCCTATGGGACATATAGAAAAATATAGCTAATGTTTATTGAGCGCCAGTTTTAAACACTTGTATTGTAGCTCATTCCATCCTCCTAGTGCTTTATAAAGGAGATACCATCATCATCATCACCACCACCATCATCTCGCTCCTGGTGAAACAGCACACTGAGACGTAGGGAAGTAACTGTACCCAAGGTTACAGAGGTGCTTAATGGAACAGCTGGGATTTGAACCCAGACTGTCTGGCACCAGAACTCTTACCCTGAACCCTGTGCTCTATGTACAATCTCCCAAATATTTGGCTCAGAAATGCTGAACTATCCCAGCACTTCTGCTAGACTAGTACGAGGACCACATTTTCCCATGGAACGGTACAAGGACATGTTTTCTGTAGAAAGTTTGGTTAGGAATATCAGAGGTTAAAAACAAGCCACCTACAAATGATTTATGTTTGGTAAACTAACATTTTGTGGTGGAAGGAATGAAAAGAGGTTTAGTAAATAAGACATCATTGAGAGAGATGGAGAGGATTTGGGGACCCCTGCCTGGGTCCTCAGCCCGGACACAGGAGGAGGAAGAGGCTCAAAGCCATTCTGATGCTGGGTGTCTCGAGGAGCCTTTTCTAGCTCTGAGATCTTTGGAGAAAGGATGTTAGCAGCCGGAGTTATCACTTCTGCTCAAGGACCACAGCCTGTCTATTCCCTGCGATGTCAGGGGGGATGGTAGCAGCAGAGAAGGGAAAAACAGTCGCCTCCATGACCAGTAGATAATGCAGGCACTATTGATAGAAGTGCAGGGAGACAAGAGAGAGGTGAGAAAAAAAATGAGAGCACAAAAACATCGGGAAAAGAGGAGAGATACAGGTATATTTATCTTGGCCTGGGTGTAATCTCTTAAGAGTCTGTCTCATCGTCATGGAGAATCATGTGATGTTTGTGCAGGACGGGCGCTGGAGCACAGAGTTGATCTCCAGATTCAAATCTCATCTCTGCTATTCTCTACCTTCGTGACCGTGGACAAAGCACGGAGGGCTTTGGCACTGGAGTTCTCTTTCCTGTAAAATGGGGACAGTGGCGCTGTCGTTAGCGTTACTGGGAATATCGATTGTGCTCTTGAATCCAAAGTGTTTCTCACCATGCCTGGCACATACCAGGTGCCCCTACGATGCTCGGCATCCATCTCTCAGTTAAAGCTCTTACCGCATGGGAGCCCCTCGAGAAAACAATCAATCTCTCTGTGTCCAGTGCTCAGCCCAAGGATGAGCACATAGTAGGTGTTCAGTGATCATTTGCTGAATGATTCCTTAGTCCCCTCTCTCTCCCCTGGTGTGTCACAGATAGGACAATCAGAGCCAGGGAAGGTGGCTGTATTGCTTATCGTCCTGCCAGTAGCCAGTGGTGCGTGTCCCAGACTCTTTCATTAGTAGCTAAAAGGAACATTTATTGAGTGGTCGCAGAAGGTTAAGCACTCTGCAGGCATTGTTTCTCTTAATTCCCCAGAACCCTACGAAATGGATACTACTAGCATTATCCCTGCCTTGCAGATGAGGAAACTGAGTGCCCAGGACATGAGCAGTTTCCCCAAAGTCTGCACTGTCACTGAACCTTGTATTAAGCCAGATGGAGCTGATGTGGCTTTTTTCTTACACAGCTTTGGGGGAAATAGCAGACTATCATGAATAGCAAAAATAAATTGCAGGAAGCCAATTTGTGGGCTAGAAAGAAGCAGAGCAGTGGAAGTGACCTTATCAGGCATGCTGTGCTGTAATCCGATTGCTACGCGTCTGTAAGAGCTTCTTAAATCAGGGGATTATGTATTGGTTACACTGGGACACTCGCTCCAACACCAGCCGGGTTCAGATTAGAGAAGCCCCTTGCAAAAACATCCTTGCCATGCACACATCGGCCAGGCTAACTGCGGCATCCATTCATGCATACGTTTGCTCCGTTCATTCATTCGTCATTCAAGTGATTCTCAGCTCCCTCCGCTCTGCCAGACTCCATTGTGGGGATTCTGCAGGAGCAGGACTGCCACGGGCTCTGCCCTCCTGGAGCTGACTGTAGGCAGCTGTCCGGTTGTGTGCCTCAAATGTGAGCATGCGCGGCTGGACAGGAGCATTGAGAGCTGGGAAGGGAGGGTCCAGGCACGGTTTCCCAGCCAGCTTCCCCTTCTCCGAGCCTCAGCCCCCAGCCCATTTCAGCAACACACCCTTGCTCATGACCGCAGACAGACTTGGTTAAACAATTCCAGGTTATGTAACCTTGGAGGAGTCACATCGTATCTCTGAGCCTCAGTTTCTTCATCTGTAAAAAAGAGAGCTAAAAAAAAAAAAAGAGCCATAAAAAAAGGGGTGGTTGGGAGGCTAATGGAAAGAACACATGAAGACCCCACCACACAGGGGCTGGGACCAGGGAGACGCTGAACAAGGGGTGGCTCTGGGCTGGGTTTAAGAAGCACAATGCTTTGAGAAAACCAATCCTTCATTCACTTTGCTCATCTATATAGCTCTGGTCGCACATTTTCTTTTCAACAAGGAGACATTTGACTTTCTGCATAATTGCCTTATTTCCTCACTGAGCCTTAAAAAGCCGTTTTGTTTTGTCTTGTTTTTAACCTCATTCTTCCAAGGACTGTGAAAATGAATGCTGTTGTCGGCCACGTGCTTTCCCCCCGTGCCTCAGTCTTCCCGTTTGTACAACGAGGGGCTTGGAGGTGGTGGTCTGCAGGCCCTTCCAGCTCTAAGGATTATGTTTTTGTTTCTCACGCCGAGGAGGAGGTGGGGGAAGGAAAGGAGAGGAGGGTAAGGGGCATGAAGGTTTTCCTGGAGGTTCTGGGCTGACGCAGCTATAGAATTCTGTCCTTGGCTCCACGGCTGACTGGTTTGAGGCTCTTAATGTCTCTTTGTATCTGGGTTTCCAACAGCAGGTAATGGTCCTAGCTGCTTTTCCGTGGGTTTTGTGATTTTTTTTGCCTTTGACTTTGACCATCTTCAAAAACACTTGGCAGACACTGTTATTACATTTGCAGGGCCCAGTGTGCCCAACTACTCGGCAAATTGTATCAAAGAATCTCTGACTGTTACAGAAGAATGCTTGCGCTCTGCATTCTTCATTCTTTGGAAATGTGATATTCTCGTTGACCTTCTGTGAAAGTAACAGTAAATGGAGTTTCAACATCCTACAAGTGTAGTCTTTTTTTTTTTTATTTTAAAGCCAGATGGAAACTTAAAGATATATTTATTTTTTTCATTCAACAAACATTTGTCAAGTGCCTACTATGTGCCAGGCACTGTGTGGTGTGTGAAGCTGCTAAACTCAGTCCTAGTTCTTGTGGCTCCCATCCAGCTGGGAATAACACGTAAAGACTAATAAATCATTACTCACTTGACTGCTTGAACAACACACATTTGTTATATACCATTTCCATGAGTGAGGAGTCGGGGCATGGTTTAGCTGGTTCCTTTGCTCAGGATCTCAGAAGGCTGCAATCGTGTCGGCAGCAGGGCTGTGTTCTCATTTGAAATCTTCACTTTGGGACAATCCACTTCCAGTTTCATGCAGTGGATGGCAGAGTTCATCTCTGTGACGCTATGACTGAGGGCTCCACCTTTTTGCTAGCTGTTGGCTGGAAGCCACTCTTTGCTCCAAGAAGTGGAGCAGGCCACATGTTTTTGCATGTGGCCCAGATGTTAGCTGACTACTTCCATGCCAGCAAGGGAGTCTCTCTCTCTCTCTCTGGTCTGCTAACATGATGACTTACATAATGTCATGTAATCATAGGGATGACATCCCATCATTTTTGTCATACAAATAACCCAAGCAAGGGCATGTCATCCTGTCCCTTTTGTCATATTCTATTGGCTAGAAGCAAGTCACAGGTTCTTCTCCAACTGAAGGGGAGGAGAACATACAAGGGTGTGACTACCTGGGGGTCCCCTCAGGATGTGTCTGTCACACAGAAAATGGCAAAGTGCCATAGCAAGTGCCCAAAGGACGAAGCCCCTGGTTCTTCCAAGTGAGGTCAAGAAGACTTCCTGAAAGAGGGAACATTTGAAGGACGACACCTGAATGAGAGAAGGATCATCAGATGGGCCAGGTGGGAAGGACACTGAGGCAGGGGACAGCATGAACAAAGACATAGCAGCAAGAAAGAATGCAGTATGTTCAGGAAACTAAGGAAGTTCTTGTTCTGGGTAGTTGGATGTGGCAAGCAGGTGGCCAGAGATGTGGCTGGAGAGGAGAGGGGCGGGGCTGAATTATGACAGACGTGGGGTGCTGGGCTGAGCCTTTTGGGCAATGTTCTGAAAGCAAAGCAACAGGCAGCCATCCATTTGCAGGTGCAGGTTCTGATTTTTCCTGGAATAACACCAGGCACCTTCCCTAACAGCTCTCAAGGATTTACAGATGCACTTGTGCTCTGTAAAGATCCACAGCGAGTCAGCGCTCTTGCAAGAGTATGATAGACACCAGAGCTGCCTAAAAATATGCCTGAGCCGCCACGGCGTACCAAGCCATAGACTGTGTTTGTTGGAAGAAATGTCCAAAATCCACATGGGCCAATGGCTGCCTTTTGTCCTCACCACAGTGGGAGGCAGCTTGGCAGGGTGTGGCAGGCACCAGAGTCAGACTGGCCTGGGTTCGAATCCTGGCTCTGCCACCTGCCAGCTGGTAAGACCTTGAGTGACTAACCCCTCTGGTTCTGCTTCCTCATCCATCCGATGGAGATGACAAAGGCTGCCGTGAAGAGGGAATGCAGTTTTAGATGCCAAGCACTCATCCGGCACGTAGTGGGTGTATTGGTTTGCTAGGGCTGCCATAACAAAGTACCACTGCCGGGGTGGCTTAAACAACAGAAATCTATTTTCTCACAGTTCTGGAGGCTTGAAGTTCAAGATCAGCATCAGCAGGGTTCCTTTCCCCTGAGCCCTCTCTGTTTGGCCTGTAGATGGCCTTCTTCTCCTTTTGTCTTCGCATGGTCTTCCACCTGTTTGTGTGTGCCTGTTTGTGTCCCGATTTCCTCTTCTTGTAAACCATATGGGACTAAGGCTCACCCTAAAACCTGATTGTAACATAATTGCCTCCTTAAAGGCCTTGTCTCCAAATATGGCTACATCCTCAAACCCCTGACCTCAAGCAATCCTCCCTGCTCGGCCCTCCCGGAGTGCTAGGATCACAGGTGTGAGCCACTGTTCCCTGCCAAATATGGTGACATTCTTAGGTACCGGGTAGTAGAATTTCAACATATGAATTTGGGGGTGTGGGAGGGGGCCACAGTTCAGCCCATAATGGTATATATTCCCAACTCATGTTAGATGCTTCTTCCTCCACCTCCAGGTAATGAAAATCCTTGTGTCCCAGTTGCAGGCTTGACTTCTCAGCCTCTCCTGTTTGAACCACGCTATGAGAACCAGTTTGTCTTAACAACAGCCTCCCGGAAAGACGTGCATGCACTCCTTGCTTGGTAAATAACAGTCACAGCCAGAGCGGCCCTGACGCTACCCTGACACTGTTGAAATGTGCCTAACGAGCCAGCTGAATCACCCTTCTCCAACGTAATCAGATGGCAGTAATTTTCTGGAACGCACCATTCCAAGGGAGCAGTGTGATCTCCAGGGCTTTGTGTTGCCTAATTAAAAGGCACTGTAGCAAGAAGGAGATTGCAGTTACATTTTTGAATCACATTGTTCTGATTTTGGAGTTTGAGGAAATGAGGAGTTTTTTTACTGGACTGTGAGGAGGTTGGGAAGGGTGGCCGGCCCAGGGAGTCTGTGGGAGCATTTGCTGGTCACGTGGAGAAGGCTTTGTGCCATTGTTTTTGCTTGTCAGAAAAAGCCAAGGTCACGGCACTGGCTGGGAGTCCTCTTTCCTTCTAGGTGATGGGCCAGGAAGGCCTGGTCACGGGCTGAGACGGGCACTGGCTGAGAAATGTCAGGGGGAGCTGATCCACCTTCAAAATTGTTCGGTAGCACCACCTTATTGGACATTTATTAGGGGCTGCTAATAATGGGCATAATAATAAAAATAATTAACATTTATAAATGTCTCAAAATTATGGGCTGTTAATTTCGGGCTCGTGGCTTCAGAGCATCTGTGAAGTCCCAGGGACTATGCACAGTATTTGTGCATGTATGCACATCAATGCTTCCTTTTTCTAAATACTGTGGTCCATGACCCAGAAAGATTAAGATCCCTCTATTCTAAATAATACCCGCTTCAATTTACTGAGAGCTTGCTATAGCTTACTGTAGTACTAGAGCGTACATTATGTCCCTTCCTTCATTTCTGTCAGTTCTCTAAGATTTCTGTATCATCCCCATTTAACAGATAGAGACACAGAGGCTGGGAGGCTAAGCCCTTGAGAAGCAAGGCCGGGGTTTCCTCCATCCATAGAACCAACATTAATTGAATATCCTTGCCCTAGAAGGAGAGTCATACAATTGCAATGCAATGAGTCGGGTGCTCCAATAGAGGGAGGCAGATGGGGCACAGAGTGGGCAACGTGGGGGTTGGAAACCAGGAAGGCTTCCTGGAGGAGGGAATGCCTGCCCTGAATCTTAAGGAGAAGGCCATAGAAGAGGTGGGGAGGGCACTCCAGAAGTGAAAGCTAATATGCATCTGGGAGTGTGCCAGGTCGAGAAGGTGGAAAAACACAGGTCTAACCAAGGACATTTCTTTTGCAGAATCCTCATTCAACCAATAAACTTCCGAAGGGATGTTCAGCCTCCTTTGTGATAAAGGGAGTTGCGAGTTAAAACCACAATGAGATACCATTTCACACATCCCAGATTGTCAAAATCAAAATATCTGACATTACCAACTACTGACAAGACTGTGGTGCAAGAGCAATGTGCTTACGGGGTTGGTGGGAGTGTAAATTGGCACAGCCATGTGGAGAGCGACTTGGCAGTATCTAGTAGACTTGAAAATGTGCCAAGTCTAGACCCAGCAGCTCCATATCTTGGTGTGTTTCCTGGAGGAACTTTCACACATTTATACCAGAAGTGTGTCAGTTGGTTTCTGCTACGTAACAAACCCTCCCCAAACACAGTGTCTTAAACAAGCATCGTTGGTTTAGCTCACACTTCTGGGTCACCTGGTCCGGTCATCTGGTCTGGCCCAGCTTGAATGATCTCTGCTGGGCTCTTTCATGTGTCTACGGTCAGTTGTAGGGTTGGATGGAAGCTGAATGATCTAGAAGCCACATGCACGTGTCTATTATATTAGCCCACTGGCTGTTGTCTGGAGCTACAGGAACAACGGCCCACACATCCCTTGTCTTCTAAGTCCACATCACGATGAACACTCTTGCCTGAGGATAGGAGATGCCTCTAACTCACGAAAGCTATAATCACACTTCCTGCAGGATGAACTGATAACATGAATTAGGAAAAGGCAGGCTCCAATTTCTTTTCTTTTCTCTTTTTGGGTAACACCTCTATCAAAGTGTAATTCATGTACCATACAATTTCCCCACTTAAAGTATACAACTCAAGGTTTTTAATATATTTACAGAGTTACGTAGTCATCACCACAATTTTAGAACAGCCCTAAAAAATCACTCATTTACTTTCTGTTTCTAGAGTCTCATTCTGAATAATCCCCATTTATACAAATGGAATTGTCCAATATGTGGCCTTTGTTTTTAAGGTTCACCCATGGCACAGCATGTATCAGGACTTCATGCCTTTTTATAGCTGAATAATATTCCATCATCTGTCTTTACAGTAAACATTTGGTGTATCTCTTCATCAGTTGATGGACATTTGGGTTGTTTCCACCTTTTGGCTATTATAAACAATGCTTCTGTGAATGTTAGTGTATACGTTTTTGTTTGGCCATATGTCTTCATTTCTCTAAGGCGCTTACCTAGGAGTAGAACTGCTGAGTTGCACGATACCCCTATGCTAACCATTTGAAGAACTGCTAGACTGTTTTCCAAAACTGGCTGCAAGAAGTCAACCTATTGGGGCCTTTTAAGCTAACACCTGCTGGTATGACGCTTAGTTCCTTCTTTGTTGCTGTTGTCGGTTTTGTGTGTTTGTCAGCTTTTTACAAACCAGGATTCAGATGTGATGTGGCTGCAGGCCCAGTGAAATTAACAGTGTTTGGGCAGCTGTGACTGTGTCCCACTTTGGGCTCTGAGGCCCTGACAAGATACAGGCAGAGCAGCTAACTCACCTGCACACTTTCACCGGGCTCAGGGGGGCACCTTTCTGTTCCCAGTTCCATTCCATCATGCCTGTCCCTTCTGCTGCACACCCTCCCTTAGCCCTGTCCCCTCCTCTGCCAGGCCACTGGGGCAGGGCCCGGCGGTCATCTCACCAACCCCCATTTCTTGCTGGGGACTCTGAAGCAGGATGGGGTGGTTGTGCTGCCCCAGGTCAGAAAATAAGTTCATGGCAGAACTGAACAGAAACCCATTTCTTTTTTTCTTTTTAGCATTATAGAAGTAGTGCGTGCTTTCTATAGAAACACTAGAAAATAGATGTAACTGTAAAAGAATAAAAACACACTTTTAAAAAGATCACCCCATAATTTCACCACCTATAGAAAACTAATACATTTTGTTTTTTTAACTTTTATTTATTTATTCATTCATTTATTCAGTGTGATGTGATTGATAATAAGAAATGTATATTTTGGTCTTTGACCCTAGCTGCTGACACAGAGCTGCCAATCCCTTGGGATTTCCTGGGCGAAAAGAGTGTCTGTCATTCTAATGAGGCCACTCTTGGTGGGCTCCTGAATGAGGGCTGGTCCCCAGAAAGATGAAGCTGTGATCAGAAGCTTGCAGCTTTCAACCCTACCTCCCATCCTCCCGGAAGAAGGAGGAGCTGGAGACTCAGTCATTTCTACGGGAGGAAGCCTCCATAAACATACCTGAATACTAGGCTCGCAGAGCTTCTGGGTTGCTGAACATGCGAAGGTTCCGGGAGGGTGGGGAGCCCAGAGAGGGCATGGAACCTCCACGCCCCTTCCTGCAGGCCTTGATTTACGTATCTCTTCCTCTGGCTGTTCATCTGTTTCCTTCGTAACACCCTTTATCATAACTGGCAAACACAAGTACGGGTTCCCCGAGTTCTGTGAGCCGTTCTGGCAAACGATCAAACCCGAGGAAGGGGTTGCGGGAACCTCCAACGTACATCTGGTCCAGGGGACAATCTGGACTTGCGATTGGTGCCAGGGAAGGTGAGGGGCAGTCTTGTGGGACTGAGCCCTTCACCTGTGGGGTCCATGCTAACTCCAGGTAGATAGTTTCAGGATTAAATTGTACTGCAGGACACCCAGCTGGTGTTGAAGGATTGGTTGGTGTGGGCAAAAAACCCACCCAATTGGGGTCCCAGAAGTGTTGTGTATGAGTATAAAGAAAAAGTTTGTTTTTCCTGTACACATCCAGTAAATATTTATCAGTGTCTACCAATTGCCAGGTACTTTACTAAACCCTGGAGACATGTTTCTTTGCATATGTATATATGTAAATATATACATCTCTTCCTACAAAAAAACAGGATCATCACATATATTTTTTAATAATGTGAATTTCTCTACCCTACCAACAATATGTTGTAAATCCCTTTCTATGGCAATAGATGTAAATCTGCATCATCATTCTTAATGACTGCACAGAATGTGCCATGATTCATTTAAGCAATCCCCCATTATTGTACACTTAGATTATTTTTAACTTTCCCTTATTATCACTGTAGCTATAATAAACAATATTTTTATTTTCTTAATCCTTCAGATAAATTCATAGAAACATAATTACAGGGTCAAAAGGTATATTCTTCTTCTAAGGCTATTATTGATACATTTTGCCAACTCACCCATCAAAAGGACTTTACAAATATAGTCTCCCAAGAGTACCTTTTACTCACTCCTCATGAGCATTCTGCTAAGCCCTGGGGAATTTATTCTTTGTATTCTTTTCCAATTTGAAAAGAAAAAAAATGGTTGCATAAGTTTCCTAGGGCTAATCTAACAAAGTACTACAAATTGTGTGCTGAAAATAACAGAAATTCACAGTTCTGGAGGCTAGAACCCCAAAATCAAGGTGTCAGCAGGGCCATCTTGCCCCTGAAACCTGTATAGAAGTCATGCTCTGCCTCTTCCTAGCTTCTAGGTACACCGTGATATTTGGTGTGCCTTGGCTTACAGCTGCATAACTCCAATCTCTGCCCTCATTGTTATATGACATTCTCTGTGTGTGTCCCTGCCTTCATATAGCCACCTTCTTATAAAGACACCCATTATATTGGATTAAAGTCCCATCTACTCCAGCTTAACTAATTATATCTGCTATGACCGTATTTCCAGATAAGGCCACATGCTAAGGTATGGGGGGTTAGGATTTCAACATATCTTTGTGTGTGTGTGTGTGTGTGTGTGTGTGTGTGTGTGTGTGTGTGTGTGTGTGTAGGAGGACACAATTCAATCCTTAACAATGGTATTAAATTACTTTAATATTTGTTTTTTTGATTACTGGTCAAATTTAGCATTTTCCCATATATGCCTTAGCCTATTTTTCTACAAATGTGTTTGTCTTTTCTTTATTCTAAGAATTCTTTACGTAATAAAAATATACACACCTAAACCACGGGCTTTTCTCCCCTTTTACTCAACCTCAAACATAGCAGGACCTGTCCAGACTTTGGAGTGTTTGTGGAATTGTCAGAGTATGGCTTGCCCTGGGTGCGGCTCTCTGCCTACTGGCGTGGTGAGAGAATCCACTTCTTATAGCCCCAGCTGAAGGATGTGACTTTTGTGGCTTCTGTGTAAGTCAAAATAGACTAGATTATGCCACATAAAAAAAAAAAAAAGAGTCCTGCAATCTTGGTGGGTCCTAGCACAAAGATTTACTTCTTGCTCAGACCATGTGTCCATGGCAGGTTGGCCAAGACTCTGCCCTACACCATCACTCCAAGACCCAAGCTCCTAGAGGAGCTCCCATCTGGGACATGAACGTTAGAGAAACAGAAATCGCACTGTTAACAGGGAGAATTTAATACAGGGATTGTTTTAATGAGTAGTAATGAAAA